TAAAAAAAAAAAAAAAAAAATCATCTATATGAGACCAGTCAACATTTACCCTAAAGCAAAGGTGAGAAGGTAAGGGGAGAGGTATAGGAAAGCTAGATTCATGGAACAAAACAACCAGAATAGAAATAAAAAAGAATGTGGTGAACAATGCAACCAATGTCACGGAATTATATAGAAATTGTTAAATGAGAACCTAATTTGCTGTGTATGCTTTCATCAAAAACAAACAAAAATATATTATTGAAAAAACAAAATTTTAATATAGTGCCTGACATATTAATTTTTTAAAAAATCATATCCCTTTGCATCAACAGATGCCAGTAAAAGTTATACCTAAGTATGCCTGTTTATGATACGCAACAGTACTTTAAGTATCAAATATTTAGTTTCAATATTAAAACTCTTACTTACGGATTTGTTTACTCTCCTTTGGTAATTGAATTTTGTTTGTTTGGCTGCTGCCTTCCAAAACAAACACAAAACTTTTAACTTCTTTATCAAATTCCTATAGAACAAAAATTAAAACAGTGATAAGTGAAGGATATTTTATGTTACTTATAAATTTAGAGCTCCAAAACCAAAGGAAAAAGTTCCATGTTGCAATTTCTTAAAGTCAGGCTCAAGCCCTGATACATTTCTTATCCTAAGACTTGCTGGGAACTGGAAATATCCACATGCTAAGCCACTTGGGCAAATCCCCTCTGATAAAGATGCCCTTCCTCCAACTTCAGGAAATTACTAACTCAGAGTTTCTGGAGTTTAATGACCCTTCCTCTCTTTTAATTTTTGTATTGGTCTTTAACACCATAGTACAGGAAACTAACCTATGCTGTATCCACTCTAGAAAGTCCTGGGTTTCAGGCCACGGCTCATACAGAATTAATCCTTGCCTTATTTTATCAGTGCTCTAAGTCTGAAATTCTATTTATCAAATTTACTTAAAATTAACATGAATTAAAACTTTATAGTTAAGGTTGCCTATAAAACTGAGATAAAAGAAAAAAAAATCCTCAGAATGAAAAACCTCCTATACTTATATTTCCCTCAAAGTGCTACTGTGAGTGGTTATTTATTTATTCAATCTTAGAGCAAATTCTCAATATTTGAGTATAAAGAAAAATTTTTCACATTAAAATAGTTCACAGATTCTCCTAGTCTTCAGAATTAGAGTTTTTGTGTATGTCAAAAAATGCATTGTAATGGCTGCTATGAATTAAAGATTGTTTAAACAAATTTATATTCTATCCTTCACAACAGCATCTCAATATATTTAAAATGAACATACATGCCCTTGTTGTTGTTGTTGTTGTTGGGTCCGTCGAGTAGGACCCAACTCACAGCAACCTCTCCTTGGGTTTCCAAGGCAGTATCACTACCGAAGTAGATTGCCCCATCTTCTTTTGAAGGAGTGGCTGGTATATTATTTATTTCATCTATACATAAGGAGCTCTGGTAGCATAGTGCCTAAGGCACTTGACTGCTAACCAGAAGGTTGGCTGTTCAAACCCACCGGCCACTCCTCAGAAGGAAGATGGGGCAATCTACTTCCGTAGTGATACTGCCTCGGAAACCCAAGGAGGGGTCACTATGAGTCGTGTCCGACTTGACGGCACATAACAACAATAACATATCTAAGTTGGGCATGTATTTAAAACCTTCCAATAGTTTACCACAATCTTCAACAGGGTCCATAAACACCTGTATAGACTAGGCGGCTCTCTCCATCTTCTACCATGCACCCTCCCTTACTTTCTGCATGTTGGCCTCAACAACCTTCTCTTCCTTCACCTGAAATGTTCTTCTTTCCACCAGCACCATCCTGTACCTAGTTCATTCTCAGAGCTCAAGTCATGTCCTCAGGGAAGCCTTTACTGATCTGCCTGCCTGTATACTCTCACCGAATGGTTTACCTCTAATTCAAACTGTGTAAATGTGGGCAAGTTGCTTACCCTCTCTGGGCCTATGCTTTGGATATCTCTAGTGCAGCTCTAACAGAAAATACCACAAATGGGTGGCTTCAACAGATTTGTTCTCCTACAGTTTTGGAGGCTAGAAGTCTGAGTTCAAAGTGCCTGCTCTAGGGGCTGGGCTAAAGCCCCTTGACCTTGAGCTTCAGCTCTGCCTCTTGCTCCCAGCCCAATGAAGGTGGAGGCATCTCTTAACTCAGGCAGCTGCTGGCTGCTGAGGATGGCAAACTCAAGATTGACAAATAAAAAGGCATACTCCTAAGATTATCAAACAACATGGCAGGCCACTAGTTCAAGTCCAGAAAAAGTCCCAAGACCAGCAGGACATCGCAAGCTGCTGAAAGAAGACTCGGCTACATGCAGGGTCCAAGCATGCCAAAAAGCTTTAAAGACCTTTCTCAAGACTTCTTATATACCAGAAGTAGACTACATCCCTAAGACTGCTACTCAACTGATCCAGTAGATTCCACCATGGAGTTGATTACCAGTCTCATCATGGGGAACAACTATATGCAGCTGCCAAGCCACTCAAAACCTGGCTCAGCCAAGGTGACACATAATCTTAACTACCGCAGCCTGTTTTCTCACCTAAAAGATGATGATAAAGGTACCTACCTCACATAGTTACTGTACATATTATACAACATACGTAAAGTACTTAAAGCTATGCTTTGCAAATTATAAGCACTCAATTAATAATAGCTTTAAAAAAACTATCCACAGACCAAGGTCCCCATAAAAGCATTCTTCTCTTGATTGTACAGGAGAGAAGGAAAAGAAAAGTTGGGGATGGATACAGGTTTTTAGATCTGGTGGAAGCTAGCTTAGATAGCCTCTTCCTAATGGCCTCTGTTTTCCCTTTGAAGTGGGGAGTGAGGTCTTCTGATGAATAAGGGAGGGCAGGCATGGGTTGAGAATGAAGATGGGGAAATGATGGCTGAAAAACTTAATGGAGAAATCATCACTTTGGAGATTAAGGGAACATAACAGGATTACTGAAGAACTGGAGAGCTGTCTGGTCCACTCAGGTATAGTTCAGTAGTACCAATCCGAGAGGTTGTAAATATTTTCTCCAAAGGTACTAAGTAGCCCAGACGCAGGTACAGAGAAGACAGATAACTGGGAATTCAAAAAAGGTTGGGGTTTCCCAGGTAGGCATGATGAAAGGACAAGGAGCAAGGACATTCAAGGTCTTGACAGGGAAGTGACTAAAATGATGGGTCTATGGCTTCAGATCTGGAGAGAAAGGAAAGTAAAGACAGTGAGAATAAATAAATAAATTAAATTAAATGCAGGGGAAAAGGAGAATGGTCAATGGCCCAAAGGTCCCAATGAATGAGACCTTTATTTGGTGGAAGTAATTAAGCAAGTAACCTTAAGAATCAAAGATTGGGGACCAAGAGAGATATCTCAATATGATAGTAATTTCAGAGGCCCTACAGTTTAGGATGGTAAGGTCCAGGGTAAGACAGTGGGAAAGGGTGCTGAACTAGAGTGGAACAGGTCACTAGAGATGAAGAAATCAAGAAATTCAGAAATCCAGGGTTTATAGAGATTTTCCCCATAGACACCAAAGTCCCTAAAACCATAGCAGGACTTTGAGTAAAAGGGTTTTGGAGGAAAAGAACAAAAGAAACAGTTCTGAAAACTGATCAAGCCCTTTTTGCTATAATCTTCACCCACTTTTCTTTCCAGGGTTTCTGGGGCTCTGTTAACACTTACTTTCCAAATCACAGATGGACTGCCCAGGATCTTCCATTTTGCTCCAGGGTTTTTTCCCTGAGCACTAAAGATTTCAACAAACGCACCTCCCTAGAAAACAAAAAAGAAAACACTTAAAGTGAAAGACAATGCGAAGGAGGGAATACTATCGAGTACACAGTCTATAACCAGTGATTCAGGCATTCTGTCAGTTAAGTAAATCTGGAGGAAACATTATCCATATTCTTACTTCTATTTTATACCTTGACTGTATCTAAGCCACAACTGTTCTGATTTGGGTCACCTTGGATTAATGGCTTAAAATATGTTTTTAAAGCATGATAAACATTAAATGATTTCTGATGTATATAAATTACAAATCTCACAAGTGTGGGAGTCATTTACTTGACATATATGGATCATGCTTACAGAACATTCTATTCAACCCACACAAAAGGGTTTAAGCTTAATTCTCAAGCCAGGCCAAGAAATTCTTATTATTTCTGGCCACAAACATTCTAGTCATGATGACCTGGGCTCTAATCCCAACTTCATCATTTATTTACTATCTGACCTTGGAGTTAATTCAACATCTTGATTCTTCATCTGTAAAACAGGATTGTTGGATTGCAGAGAACAGTGCATGTAAATAAATCATCAAGCACAATGCCTGGCACAGAGCAAGGGCTCAATAGTGCCAATGATGATTATTCAGACAAAGGACAAATTAAGTATTTTAGTAAAAAGGCTTGGGGAAGAATCTTGGAGCAGGGCAATTCTTATTTTGAGCATTCTTACAAGATCTCTTTATATATTTAATACACATTAATTTGAGGATCCATAAAAACTATACAAGAAAAAAAAAGAATCATTTCTATAGACATGCTACTTCTTCCCCATTATAAACCTGAGAACATGGAGGGACATACACTAACCAACACTAATTAAACACCTGAATGTCCATAAACTTGAAATAAAAAATGGGGACTTAAACAAGATCATCACTTCTGAGGAAAAGTGTCTTGTTTATTTCAAGAAACTGAGAATCTGAAATGAAGACTAAGATAACCTGATTTCTGTATGGATTTTCCAGCTTTCTAAATAATATAATCTTGCTTCTGAGTTTTAACAAGTAATCACTTGAAATTAAAGTATTTAATTTCTAATTCTACACAGTATTATGTGCAAACTGCATATGAGATAGAATTACTCTAACTTGCCAGGTCAGGTCGTATTTCACTGTGAATTTTAAATGTGAAGCAATTTTTAAACAAAAGAAAGAAAAATCCTTATACCTGGTGAGACAGCACCCTCCCCACCTCACCCACCTGTTCTTCTGATTTCCAAATTTCCCACAGTGGGCATATGATTTTTTTAACAATACACTTTACCTGTATCAAGTGAAGCAAACTCTTTAAAACTGTTCTAATTCACTTAATGATACAAAATAGGAAAGAAAAAAAAGACAATATTCTGAGGACACGCCTAAGTAGGCAAGTAGTGTTTGGTGAAAGTGCAAAAGCAACAAAGAGATAGAGACCAGTGGAGAAGGGTTTGGCATAGGGAAGTTCATCATAGCAGCAAGAATGAAATGGTAGACAGATTGTAAATAAAGAGAGACTGTAACCTCAAGTAGGGGTAAGGAGGGAAGCACAGGAGCAGACAGGATTAAGGAAGGTTAGGAAGAGAGACAACTCAAGGCAAGGAAAGCAGGTGACGCATTGAGACACACCAAAATACACAAGATAACTGATGCAGACTAGATCAGAATCACCTGGGTGAAGTTTTTTTTTTATAAAGGTAAATCAACTGATCTCACCTCTGGAGACTGATTCAGTAGATAGGGGGTGGAGTCAGAAAATGGGCATTTTTACAAGTACCCCCAAAAGATTCTAATGTACCCCAGTGTTTGAGAACCACTGACTTACACACACATAAACCAGTTCGGGGGAAAAAAACAAATAGTAGGTAGTCAAAGTGCTTATTTTCTTTCTTTTTTTAACTCATCAATCCTTTCGCTCATTTCCACTGTCTTCTAAACAGCTGAGGTACCCATGTGTGTCACTATTGACTACTTGAAGCACTTGTTAAGAATCTTATTTCTGGATCCTACTCAAAATTTTGATTCAGAGTATCTCAAAAAAAAATAAATAAATAAAAACCTCACTGCCGGGCAGTGGGATCCGACTCATAGCGACCCCTCTTCGGGTTTCTGAGGCGGTATCACTACTGCCCAACCTTCCTTCCGAGGGTTTGAACCGCCAACCTTCCTGTTAGCAGTGCCTTAGACACTAGCCACCAGAGCTCCCTCAGAATATCTCGGTAGGGTTTAATGTCTGCAGTTTAACCAAAATCGCAAGCAATTGAGAAGCACTAAGCTGGAGATTGAACATGCCAAACCATATACCTAAACCTCCCCCACGACCAGTCAATCCATTCCTTCCTTCTCGCTCCGAAAAAGACCTTATTTTGGGGGTGGGGTGTCAGATTTTCAACTGTCTTCACCCAAGGGAGCTCTGGTAGCATAGTGCCTAAGGCACTTGGCTGCTAACCAGAAGGCTGGCGGTTCAAACCCACCAGCCACTCCTCGGAAGGAAGATGGGACAATCTACTTCCTAGTGATACTGCCTCGGAAACCCAAGGAGGGGTCGCTATGAGTAGCGTCCGACTTGACGGCACATAACAAGAGGAAAAACTTATAGACAGGCTGGAGAGCTATTTCAGGTTACCTGGTACTCATTTTTGAACATTCCCGCCGGGGGCTCAGGGTTTGGGGGACACAGAGTTCAGGGCTTCCAGAGAGGAGCGTGACCCTGACGGATGGATAGCGGCAGACGGGAATCTCGGAGCTCTTCGACCAAAGAAATGCTTCGCGCTTATCCGCGACTCAGTCGGGCTCCTCTCAGCCCTCTGGCGCCTCGTCAGCTCCACCTCCGAACACCGACAAGAGCCATCGCCGCCCCAGCCCCCGGGGTTCCCAGGTCGCGGGGGGTGGGGGGTGGGGTGGGGGAGGGGGGAACTGCCTGGGAGGGACCTGGGTCTTCCCTAGGGAGCAGTTATGTGCTTAACCTACGTGACCAGGAGCTAGGCGCTGAGCCACGAACAACTGCCGGCTGGCCCAGAAAGATCTGCGCACTCCCGCAGCCTTACGGCCCCGCCCCTTTCCGGTCGGACTCGGGCTCCAGGAGACTCCACCGTTCCGGCCGCGCCCATTGGCTCCGGCGATGCACCTGGGAATTGCTCTGTGTGCGTTTTTCGCCAATTGGCACATGAAGTTACGCAGTGACGTAGGCGTTGCCCAGGCAACCGAGTGACTTTCTGAGGAAGGCTGACCATGCCAATCTCTGATTCAGGTCTTCTAAAGCAGCTAAACTTATCATTTAAGCGCAGTCCCAGAGGCTGGACTCTTCTGGAGAACCTGTCTTCGGTCTAGTCTGTACAGGTTGCTCAAGGACAGAGTGAGGTAATATTGGAACTCTCACATGACTTCTGGTTCGAAGGTTCCCAAACTTGGGTTTAATGAGTGTCTTCTAGCCCCTGTCACTGTTTCAAAAGGCCCAAGGAAGTGAGAGTATGTAGTTAAGACCAGTTCACACTTTAGAAAGGCAGGACTTTTTAATAACTACATATGATTTTTGAGTCAGACACTCTTTTAAATCACCCTGTTCAATTAATTTAGTTTTCCAGGTCAGGTAACATTCCCATGAGGTAGGTGTTATTGCTCTTTTATACTAAAGAGTTGTGGCTCAAAGAGGTTAAATGACTTGTGTAAAATCACATGGCTAATGTGATGGATGGAATTGTCTGACGTACACACACTTTGGTGAGTTAGGTCAATGTTGTTGTTATGTGCAATAGCATACAATTATTAATAACCAGAGACCACTCTTGGAGTCCCTGCTATAGGCCAAGTGGTTCACAGGTTCACAACCCTCTGAGGTAAGCGTTAGTGTCCTCCCAGTTGAGAATATTCAGTCTTAGGGTTCATTAGGAATTTAGTGAAGGATGCAATGTTGAGTTTCAGTTCTCACCAAAGCTAAAGCCTGATCTCATTCTACTTAACCACAAAGCCTGAAATGTTTGTTGTCACTAAAATTTGCCAAGTATTGTGGATCATGGAAAGTGTGTAAAAATGATTGATCTCTGGATTTGCTTTTTATCAGGGTTAGGAAGAACAGATAAAAAACAAACCAAAAACACTTTAATAGTAAATATGTACAAGATGGAGGTGAGGTGATTGCACAGCTTTAAGTTGCAGTACAATAACTAGAATCTTGGCTACCTGATTTCTAGACCAAGTTGAAGAACAATTTTTTTTTTTTTTGCAAGGTCCTGTGCTTGGGGGACTTGGAAATTATGGTCACTAGACATGGTCTCTGTCTCACAAGACTTGTTATCTGATGGGAACATTTATTTATTCACTGAAGAGATATTTCCTAAGAACAGGGCTTGATTACCAATAAGCATGGTGCAGTGTGCGCAACGCACTGTTATCCAGTTAGATCCAACTCATAAGTGACCCCTCTTTGGGTTTCCGAGGCAGTATCAATACGAAAGTAGATTGCCCAACCTTCCTTCCGAGGAGTGGCTGGTAGGTTTGAACTGCATTGTGAAAGCCATGTGAAATTGTTCACTACAAATTAGCAAGTTAGCACAAGTAAACTCTTGTTTACCTTGCTTACTGGCTACTCCATCCCTATCAGGGATTGTAAATTTGAAAAGAGGCTTTGATTCTGTAGGAAAATGTTGTGGGATTAGGAGAGAGACAGATGTCAGTCATGCCTAGAAGCAGAATTGTTGATATGGTGAAAAAAATGTCAAGTTGTTCACTACAAATTAGTAAATAAAAACAAGCCTGTGCTTACCTAGTTTACTGGATAATCTGACAGTGCCTAAGAGCATATGTTTCAGACACTGTGCTAGGAATTGGGTAATAGAATGAAGGCCTGCACCTTCATTGCTTATATAATAGTGATAAAGACAAACAAGTGAACAAATAGTTACAACTTGTGATATATTCCATGAATATAGTAATGGGGGATGATATTGGAAGGATGTATTAATTCCCTGTAGCTTTTGGTAACAAATTGCCACAAACAAAACTTACTCTTTCACAATTCTGAAAGCCAGAGATCCAAAATCAAGGTGCCAGCAGGGCAGCCTCTGGAGGCTCTAGGGGAGAATTCATTCTTTGCCTCTTTCAGCTTCTCGTGTCAGCATTCCTTGTCTTGTGGCTACGTTACTCTAATCTCAGACTCTGTGATCAAACTGCCTCCTCCTTTTCTGTGTGTATTCTCTCTGTTTCTCTTATAAGGAGTGGTGATGGCATTTAGGTACAACCTGCTGTATGTTGTTGTTGTTGTATGCCATTGAGTCGGACCCGATTTATAGCAGCCCCTCCTTGGGTTTCCGAGGCAGTATTACTACGAAAATAGATTGCCCAACCTTCCTTCAGAGGAGTGGCTGGTGGGTGTGAACCGCCAGCCTTCTGGTTAGCAGCCAAGTGCCTTAGGCACTATGCTACCAGAGCTCCTACCTGCTGTATAGTCCAAGGCAATATTCTTATCTCAAGGGTCTTAATTTAATCACACATGCAAAGAAACTTTTTTCAAATAAAGTAACATTCACAGGTTCCAAGGATTTGATATGAATATCTTAGGGGGGGGCATTTTTTGATCTACCACATAGGGTGACCTGTACTATAATACGAAGCAACTTTTGAGAAACACTATAAAAGAGGCACAGAGTACAATGAGCACACAAAAAGAATCTAGGAGAAATCTTTAGACCTTCAACAATCTACATAAAAACCAAACCAAACCCACTGGCATCAAGTAGATTCCAACTTATAGCGACCCCCATTGTATTTCCAAGGCAGTAAATCTTTACAGAAGTAGATTGCCCATCTTCCTTCTGCTGAGCAACTATCTATATACGTATCTGAAAAGCTTTTCATGAGCCCCATACAAAAAACCTAAACCCACTGCCATCAAGTTGATTTTGATTCATAGTGACCCTTTAGGACAGAGGAGTAGAATGGCCCCACAGGGTGTCCAAGGCTGTAAATCTGATTTTTCTTCAAATTTTTATTGTGATTTGGGTGAAAGTTTACAGAGCGAATTAGTTTTCCATTCAACAGTTCATACACATTTTGTTTTGATGATATCACATCTCCACAATGTGGGAACCCTCTTCCCACTTCCTTCCTCTGGTTACCTTTCTTTTTGTACCGTTTGTGCACCTTTTCATGTTCCGTTTTCCTTAGTAGTATTTGTGTCTCCACAGTCATCTTTCAATTTGTCCTACTTTGGTGGCTTGCATGTTGCTGTGAGACTGGAAGCTATTCCACTGGTATTTTAAATACCCATGGTGGACAGGTTTCAGCAGAGCTTCCAGACTAAGACAACTGGGAAGAAGGATGGAGCCATCTGCTTCTAAAGCATTAGCGACTGATAATCTTATGAATAGCAGTGAAATACTGATACATTACTAGAAAATGTTATGAGTAGCAATGAAGGAGTGTCTGATACAGTGCCAGAAGTTGAGCACCTCAGGTTGGAAGGCACTCAAAATACAACTGGGAAAGAGCTTCCTCCTCAAAGTAGAGTTGATCTGAATGACATGGATAGTGTAAAGCTTTAGGGTCCTTCATTTACTAATTTGGAGCACAACCTAAAATGGGAAGAAATAGCTACAAACATTTATTAATACTCTAAGTGGGGAATGTGTGAAGTATAAATGTAGCAAAAGTTGGAAGCTGTCAAAAATGTAATGGAACACATAAAGATCACTATCCTAGGCACTACTGAGCTGAAATGGACTGGTATTGGCCATTGGGAATCAGACAATTGCATAGTTTACTACTAAAACCAAAGATGAAGAAATTGAAGATTTTTACCAACTTCTGCAGTCTGAAATTGACCAAATGTAATTAAGATGTATTATTACTGGTGATTGGAAGGCAAAATTTTGAAACATAGAAGAGGCATCAGTCGTTGGAAAATATGGCTTTCATGATAGAAATGACACGGCAGATAACATGACAGAATTTTGCGAGGCCAACAACTATTCATTGCAAATACCTTTTTTCAACGACATAAATGGCTGCTTTACACACAGTCCTTGCCAGATGGAATACAGAGAAACCAAATCGACTTCATCTGTGGAAAAAGCAAATGAAGAAGCTCAATATCATCAACCAGAACAAGGCCAGGAGCTGACTGTGGAAGAGATCATTAATTGCTCATATGCAAATTCAAATTGAAGCTGAAGAAAATTAAAACAAGTCCTTGAGTCTCAAACTTTGAACTTGATTACATCCCACCTGAATTTAGAGACCATCTGAAGAATAAATTTTACATGTTGAACATTAGTGACTGAAGACCAGACAAGTTGTAGGATAGTATCAAGAACATCATACACGAAGAAAGCAAAACGTCATTGAAAAAACAGGAAAGAAAGAAAAGGCCAAAATGAATGTCAGAAGGGACTCAGAAACTTGCTCTTGAATGTTATATAGCAAAAGCAAGTAGAAGAAATGATGAAATAAAAGAGCTGAACAGAAGATGTCAAGGGGTGGCTCAAGAAGATAAATAAGTAAATAAAAATGCAATAAAGTACTGTAATGAAATGTGCAAAGTTCTGAAATTAGAAAACCAAAAGGGAAGAAAGCTGTAAGAACTAAAGAAAAAATTCAAGCCTTCAGTTGCAATATTGAAGGGTTCTGTGGGCAAAATATTGAGCAATGCAG